CCCGGGAATACAAATATCAATTGGAAGATATATACTCCGTATGCAGGCGCTGCTGGAATGTTGCTACATAGAAATGGAAAGTTCACAATTGGGAAGCTGAAATCATCTCTTATAAAATATACGTATAATGTACTCTATAATACAGATATACAATTCTTTTAATATAAATGTGTACTGTAAAGTTTACTGTCTTGCCATGGTTTATGTTTCTTAAGAAAATAGAAATAAATAACAACACATGAGGTCCAGTGTACTGTAAAGATTTTCATCAAGAAGACAGGACAATACGTAGAATATAGGATAGAGCAAATGGTAAAAGTAATAAAATAACCTCGTCCTTTTGAGGATAATGTTATCTTCAATTAACTTTAAATTTATGATAACTGTAAAGTTCCTGATTTTGATTTCATACTTCAATTGTACATACCTATACATATAATTTAAGCCATCTTGTGTACATTAATACTTCTGTAAATGGATCATGGATGCAACAGTTCCTATGTAAATCTACACAGCATATACGATAACATAACAGACTCAGACATGTCATAAATGTCATTGGAGTTTAAATCAAATAGAAACAACAAAACGTAACGAAAATACGATATGGCATACATTCTGACGTATTCAACGTATTTCGTCTATTTTAGGATAAAGTTCAATTTACGTTCAATTAATCAAAACTTTGACGTTCCTGAATTTTTTTCGATGAAGCGAAATTGTAATCATTTTATGACTAATTATATCTTAGGAGTCCTTCTAATTCATATTATAGTATTAGTTGTACATCCCTTATAGTACAGAGAATTAAAGACAAAATATGTACATTAAATACCTGTACCTCTAAATTGAAAATAATACTTTTCCGGCATCCGACATTTCCGACACGCTTTTATTGCTATATTTTCGTCTGAAACGTAATAACCTAAACTATGAAAGCCAGGGATGTCCTAAAACGTAGAATTATTAGACGTTTTATGATCAAACCGAACCTCCAAAAGACGTTCAATTTATCAAAGGTTCTAATCATTTTTCTGATTGTTATTCTTCAACACTTGGCTCTTGTTTGCAATTTATCTAATATTTCTCAAAATGCTAAATTGATGAAAAAGAAAAGAATGACTGCAAAAAAAAAAAGAAATAAAACAATGACCAAGTGACTTCTGCTGTCTCCAAATTTAGTTATGACCCTACTAATTGAAAACAAAAATTATTTATCAATCAAATGTTTCCCTATATAACACCTGACCAATCACACTTAACTATCTTCACGTATAAGGCACGACGGTACCCAAAATGCATCGTAGATTGAAATTATGCTTAGTTATTGTTAAAAACATATGTTAACGCTGTTGCTGTGCAAATAAATTTCTACGCACAATAACAAAAATGGTAACAGAGAAAAATGGGGACAAAAATAGTTACGAAATAAGGTTAACAGCCAACAACATATTTGAAGGTATAAGCAGTTCCCCCTCTATTGGTAGCATTTATTTTGATTTCCATTGTTAATCATCAATCTTATTTAAAGATGAACTTAAACAAATCTAGAAATTGATATTTTTTAGTCAGAAGAACATTAGGTAAGGAACAAAATAACCTAAATATATTGATAGGTTATCGGACTGCTTTTTGTGATATTTGTTTTTTTTTTTAAATGAGATGAAATCTTATATTAAAAAGAAAAAAAAGGTATTATGGGGCAAAATATTTCACACTTTATCGTAGGAAAAAACTCGGTGAGTGTGAACATTTTATCAAACTTCATAAACCTGAAATTAAGTACATCCTTAAACCTTAGTGTGTAATATCACCATGAAAGAGAACGTGAATGTTGTTTCTACAAAACAAGGTATCATCATTCATGTATGACTCAGACATTCAATAACATTCAACTATCATTTTATAAGGACCATTAACATGTTGAAGGAATGACATTAGAAATATGTTGGTTACACACTAGCAATCAGTAACCATGATAGTAAACACAAACTTCCAACATTGAATCGTCGGATCAATATATGACCCATATGCAGGCACAATTGGTTTTGGTTTTAGTTTTTAAGATCTACATACCCAGAGTACAATGAAAAAATTGAAATTAATGCAATCGATTGTCATTAGGTATGGTTCTCAATCAACTTATAATCAATGTAACTGTATCTGCCTAACATTTGAGTTCAATCAACATAGACACAACATTTTACAGTTTTCAGTAACATTACATTACGAACTAGTTGAGATTGACATTACAGGATAAGATTAGCGCCGTTTACGTTTCTCCCTGAGAAGTTTATGTGCTAAGGCTGTTAGTACACGTATGATTAAAGTAATACATGAGATATTAGAAGTATATAAATTGACCATATCTGAAAGAGTTGAAAACCATCAAAGACAAAATTATGGAGGAAAGAACGGTTATTTTGTTAGTTTCTTTAATCATTATACATGCTATAAGTTAATCATGTTAATGGATTTTGCTTAACATTCAGATGAAAAAAAAACAACTAACAACGATAATAACAATTCAATAAGTACATGTATACATAGTACCTGATTGATGTTCACATACAAATAGGAAAACAAGCTAGATAAGTATGTATCTTTACCAGATGTGCCAATAATAAAGAGATGTAATGTACAGATATTAAAGTGTTTGATTTCGGAGTCAGTTGTTTTGATTGACTTGCCGGGATGAATACCAAAACTTAAAAGACCAAAAACAGGAAGATTCTAAATGGAAAGTCCCTAAGTAAATGACAAAATCAAAAGCTCAAACACTTCAAACAAATGAATAACAACTGTCATATACCTGACTTGGTACAGGCATTTTCTTATGTAGAAAATGGTGGATTAAACCTGGTTTTATAGCTAGCTAAACCTCTTACTTGTATGACAGTCGCATAAAATTTAATTATATTGACAACGATGTGTGAACAAAACAAAGACATAATAGGTAAAAATAGGGGTACAGCAGTCAACTTTATGTTATAATCTTAATAACTATAAAACAAACACATATGCAAATAAATTATTTTTCAAATCTGAAAATTTATTTCTATTTTGAATTCATTAAAATAATATTTTATAGAACACAAGTGCATTAACAGTATACTCCAGGTACATTTGTTCTTAAAAAACAATCAATGAATAATTGGTACATAATACAAGAAATAATGATATAAATTGTTTTAAATATAGCTTTCTTAGGGTCTACTCACTAGAAAATACACTAATTATAATAAGATATAGCTCACCTCATATCACTACCTACTCAGCTCAAACTTTGTATAAAATTACTGGCATCAATTAAGCAAAGGTTATACAGTGCTGTTAATAAAATACATGTGCCGTAACTCAAGCAAGTGACAAAGTTTTAAGAACCTGTGATAAAACCAAGATACTTGTTTTCAAATTTAAATAAGAAATACTGTGAAAGATCAAAGTAGACACAAATAACTACTTAAATCATTACCTTAGAATTTAACAAATCCTTAGTTAATATCAAGGTGTATTCATGACTTTGTTGAACATAATTTCACTGAATTTAAGAAGGCACAGCATGTAAATGTAAAACAAAAGAAAAATCCTTAAATAAAATATGTGTAGATAGTGATTGATGATGTGTTGAATTAGTTTTCAACAAAAACTACATCTATTACAATTTTCAACCAATGATTCACACTTTAGTATCAGTTTATGCTTCCCTGATAACCTTAAGCTTTTACACTATTTATTCGTCTATGACTTGTTTACTTTTTCATGTCATCTTATTAGAAAAAAGTACTTAACAGCTACCATACGACTTATTGCAGGGAATACAAAGACTACAAGGTATTATGAAATTTAAATGTACTTATTCATGTTATCTTATTAGAAGAAAAAACTTTACAGCTACCATACGACTTATTGCAGGGATCAATAAGACTACAAGGTAATCTAATATTTACTTATTTGATTCTCATCGATAACAAGGTAACATAGGATATTGTAACAAACATAAATGGTCTTAGGGACGTGCTAATTCATTGGTCGCGTTCTTTTTCCGTTTGTTTTAAGAAGAAATTTACAGCTGTCAATTCTGCAATTTCACAGCTGTTTAAAGGATATTTGAACGATTCCATGCATGCATGTATCAATTGATGGAGGCGTTTGTGGTGAATGCTATTTTATACTTGGTGCTACAGATAAGCTACATGTACATCTTAGGCTATTAAGGATTTTGCAATAAAATTTATTGCGGTATAACTTTTCAATACAATGTGTTTCGTATTTTTATCCTTCATCGTGCTAATTAAAAACAGCTCTTATATATATAACATTGCACAATGACTTGCAAAATAAAAACAAAATATTATTTGTCTGTCTGTCTTGAATAAAATGTAATATTGATAATTAGTTAATGACTATTTTTCTATACCATTTACACATTTTTGTTTATTTTAACAAGAAAAATCGTCCAAATTACCGGATACATACATACTCTGAGATTAAAAAGAATCTTACCACGTGATGATTAACCTTTTCTCTAAACATTTTCAAAACACAAATTCTTCTATTTAAGTATTACTCATTTGTTAACGCATACAGTGTGTTCTTCAATTGACACGTTCACACCAAAGATATATAGTATCTACGGTTCCAAAGTCAAAAGTGCAAGTCTTGATCCAAATGTCATAAAAACAGTAAAAGGTACCAGGCTTGTAAATTTAAATACTTTTTTTATAATTCAATTTGAGAATGCGAGTGATTGTTCCTAATTGTCACTAATTGACTAACTGACAATGTAACATGATGTGATGCATAATTATTTATAAGTTTCTGTTTAGCTGGTAGATTAGGTAGATTAGGTCTTAGGAAATGGTCAAATAATAGTTTGCTTTTGTCCCTTGTGTTATGTGTGCAGTTCTTTTTCTGTGATGAGTTCTTTTGTTTCTTTTATTTTTTAGGTCAATCTTTAATCTAAACACAATCAGACAAAAAATAATACATACATATATATAAAGAATTATCAATGCATCATATTAATGAGAATATCTGAGAAAGAATAAAGTTGTGTGATATATAATATATTGTAATATGTCAGACGAAAGACTTATTCGATGAAAATTTAACTCTGAAACTACCTTTCTTTCGGTAAAGTTAATAGAAAAACGAATGTTGTTTTTTGTCTCTTAAAATTCAGACGGTTCATATGATGATCTTCATTGGTGCTTGTCTTAAAACACATTATGTATATGAATGCCATGACATCTTATAGTCCTTGAGTTGCGAGTTTGTTCTATACTTTTCCTCTAAAGTCATGCCACCATAACTGATTGTAGCTATAATAACATATGATAACACATTAAACCTTACATACAGACCACGTTAATACAATAGCTTAATATTTCTTTAATGCTTGGCTGGATTGTTCATTTGTAAAGTCCACGGTGTCGAAAAGCACAATTTGGAACGCAAATTGTTAGATAATTATATACACGTATTTAGGTTATTGTTCAAAAATTCAAACGTGATAACGTTTTTTTTAAACACAATATATTTGGTGATGTAGAGAACATGTCGTATTGCTTGATACAACATGCCCTACTAGGCCTCAAGTACATGTATCTTCCTATATTTCAACATTACTGAAACTAATTTCATACACAAGCATTTAGCTCAAAAATGATTATATTTTACATCGACTTTTGAAAACATTTTTGACTTAATGTTTGACTTTTTGAGTTAAAAAAAAAAAAAAAAAAATTCATGAAACATCTGCTTTATGAACATCATAAAAGCATTACACCATACTCTTAGGCATAAATTACTACAAACTAGTAGCAGTCTAACTTCTTCTTCTTCTTCTTTGTATTAGCTTACTATAGACATGAACACCTCATATAATATTAGAGTATAAGGGTAATTTTGAGTAGAAAATGTTTATGTTTTGTTTCAGACAACTATGTACAGCACACTATGTAGATGGATTTTAGTATATTTTTTTATGAATGTGACTTTATATACAGTTTTGGCTTTTATTTTGTTTAATATTACAAACGTATCTTATTTACATGTGTGTGTGTATTATGTGTGTCAATGACAAGAGTATTATACAAATAAAAGATGCTCATAAGGGTTTAATTTACATAAGGAGTATATGTTTTTTTTTAAAGTATGCATGTTTTAATAACTTAAAAAGCAGTTTGGGCTTACACTATATAATTTTGAATTGGTCTTGTCTTCTTAAAAGACTATTCAATGATTAGAATCTAAAATATATCTCTTTCATTACATACTGTTTAAGAATATGATTATACTCAATATGATTAAAGTTATATTAGAATTATACATCGTATATAAAGATCATTTTGGGCCATATTTTAAAATATTTGTCTTATTTTAAAATACACAGGATACCAATAATGATCTTCAAGTCAAGTTACAAATAAAAATACAAAATAATTAAAAGCAAAATAAAATGAAATAAATTGAAATAAAAAAAAAATAACATAATTTATCATCATATATAATAGAGAATATTTATGGTTTAGACTTTATCTGCTTCACTTGAACATTTGAGTTAATGAAACTCTTATTACTTATACTGCATCATAATAGTATATTGATATTGGCGTGCTTGTATACGGGTGGTTTGCAATTCGTCATAAGAATATTCTCGAAATATAAAATTCTAGGTCCACATTCCTATTCATTCTTCATTTTTTTCATGAATACGAAATATTAGCTTTTATTTCAAAACTATACACTAGTATAACTGTCACTATGTATAAATTCACTTTCACATATTATTATTGTTGTTTAATGCATCTAATAATTCTATTTTCTTGACATGAAGTTGGAATAATAGGTTTCTACCTTTTTCCTCTATCTTGGTAACGAATTCACTGCTTATGTTCAAATTCCTTTGAAAGTATTACAATCCAGTAGCAAACGGGTTATTTCCATCTTGTTACAACAGAATGTATTCCAGTTAGTTGGATCAATATTATCCATTATTTCCCTTTTCATCTCTACATAGTATTTCCCTCTTATGGTACTTAACACTGGATATGATGTAACCATTTTCTGTATGACATAATTGACATGACGGTTCTGCTATAAATTGTGTGAACTTGTGTTTGTCTGACTGTAATATATATGATCCAGTAATTTTTCTGGCTTTTACAATAGCTTTTCTTAGCTCAAGTCTTGGTTGATTTTTCAGATTCCAGACTTGTGCAGTTTGTCCAATTTCTAGGCTTTCTATGTTCATATATTTTATACTGGTTTTATTGATGGCTTTAAATTTTAATTGAGCGTTCCGAAACTGATTTACTTTTTTTTTAGTTTCTTCTTTCCAGTCATCCCTTTTTGGTATGTTTTTCTGTAGATAGTGTGTGGAAGATAGATCATATATATCGAGTATGCTCAGTATTCTGCTGAAAAAACTTTTCGTGTTGTCTTAATTAGTGGCAATTTGTCTATTCATAACGTCTTAAATTTTGCTGTTGTCACATGCTATTATAGAGTATAAAAGTGATAGTTATCTCTTATGTATTTCAGCTTCTATAGGCAAGGCTCCTGATAATAATAAGACAACAGCATTTTATGTTCTCTCTGGTAGAGACTGCAGATGTCTCAAGTTTTTCCTGTGGAATATCTCTAGTTCCTCCATATTTGATTTTATCAATGGTAAAACTTCTAGTCTATATGTTAGCCTTGGTATTACATATGCCTTATATATTTGGTATGAGATTGCAGGGATAAGTCCGTTTGTACCGTGCACACCAGAGCCCATAACTGCATACTTTGTTCTTCTAGCTGTTTGTATTCTTTCTTTTATGTTCATTCCCATCTGTTCTCTTTATTCCTAGATGCTCACTACAATCAGTTGTTTTTACTTTTTTGCCTCCATTGTCTAGTTGTAGTCTGTTTTCTGTTTTGAGCAATCGATTATTTCTGTTTTGGTAGGATGAATTTTATAATTATGCTTTGTAGCATATCTGTCTATTACATTCAACATTATTTGTAATTCATATTCGTTGTTTGAGATAAAGGCTATATTATCTGCACAAGTTGGTGCTCCTACATATGTGTCTCCCAAATGATATCCTAATGAGTTCTGCTCTAGTTCTACCAATAGATCTTGTACAAATATTTTGTATAAATGTGTCGAGAGTATCCGCCTTGTCTTACTCCTTGCTTAATTTTGAATGGTTCACTTAACCCATCCATCCATTTTACTTTGGAACTAAACCCTTTATATAGCTCTGTTAGAATTTTTAATAAATTGGATGTATATTTTGATCAAACGCCTTAAACATTAAAATGCCATGCTGAACAACATCAAATGCTGATTGTACATCAAGAACAGATATGAAAAAAAATTCAGTTGATTTTTTTATTTCATATCGGGCTTCTGATATAAGCAGACTTGACATAATTGGTGAAAGTCCTTCTGTAAATCCAAATTGAAGTTGTGTTTTTGATTTTAAATTTAAGTTTTTCCAAAAAGTCATATTCAAAAATGTTTCCAATAGTAGGTGTAACTGTTATACCCCGGTAATTACTCATAATAGTAGGATCTTTTTGGGTTTTTAATACTGGAGTAAGTAAGCCAAATCTAAATGATGTTGGGACTGTTCTTTTCAATATTATGTTGTTAAATATTGATGTTAGCACAGGAGCGACGGTTGGTTTTGAATTTTGTAAATGTTCAGCTGTTATTCCAGATTCATCTGCACTTTATTTAGTATTGAGTTTGCCAATTGTTTCCATGACTGCAGTCTCTTTAAACTGTTCTGGGTCTTTGATTTCTTTGTTTATGGCTTGTTCATATAGTTGTTGCCTGATTTTGCATAGGTTAGGATAGCTAGCATCATATATATCCTCCTTTGGCACACCTAGATCTTCATAATACGAGGCAATACGTCTTGTTTGATCTGCTGGTACAAAATTATAAGCATCATCAATTTTCAGACAATTTGTTGAGGTTTGTTGGTTGCTGCGATTCCTATTTATTATCCTATAAAAAAGTTGAGAATTGGGGTTGTCCATTATCTGTTGGTATAGATTTTGCCGACTAATAGCGTGTTCCATTCTTATTTTACTACGCAGTTTTCTTTTTCTCCAATCTTAGTGCAGTAGCCACGGGATGATATTTCTGTTTACCAACCTCTTGCCATTGCTTGTATATATTTCTGCATGATCTTAGCAGTATTTGAACCTCTCGAGATGCTTTCCATTTTCGTCCCTTCAGTTGCAGTATTTGTTTTGGAATTGTATTATTCCCTGCTCTTATGAGGCTATTTGTAATCATATCCATCTGTGTGTAAATTTTCTTCCATAATTGTTGTAGCATCCTGTTGAATGAGGTTGTTGTATTGCTTTTTGTCTATTTGATCCCATTGGAGTTTGTACTTTGCTTTTTTGTTCTTATTTACAGGTTTTTATCTTTCTGGTGTCTCAATTGTTGTTCTTACTGTCACAGAAGTATGTGCAGACTAATTGATACTTGATTTTTCGTCTATATTATATTTTAAGACACGATTATTGTCATTAACCAATACATAGTCAATCTGTGATGAAGATGACCATGCATGGTGAAAAAAGGTATGTTTTTCATCTAACTCTTGACCTGTAGATAGTCCCATTTCAGACACAAAGCTTATTCCTTGTAGCTAGTAGTGTTCCGTTCAAATCTCCACTAAGTATAAGTTTATGGGTTTCTTGATACTTTTAATAATATGTCTAGACATTCTCTATATTCAAATTGGGAGTCTGTGTTACATGTTGGCATGCATGCATATATAATACAAATATCTGGCGAAGCTGTTATCAGTATTGCAATTACTCTTTCATTGCCATCCTTTAATTTTTTAACACTATTAGTCCATGAATTTGGCCATAAAATTGAAACCCCCCCTTTTCCTTTTGGAAGTTTAAAACTATCTTTTGGATCATTTGTATCTGAACATCTCATGTGATTTTCCATTGAAGGTACCAGATTTTTTATTTCTCTAATTTGAAAGACTCATAAAAAGTGTTCCTGAAGACATACTATTGATTTTGAAAGATCTAATAAATGTAGGAATGCTATATTTGTTTTCAATCCTTCGATATTGCTTGTTACAATTTCTATTGTTGGTTTATCGACATTCTGTTTCTTGTTATTTGTGTTTGATCTTGTGGGCGATATTCTTGGGCTAGTATGCGAAAATTTTGCGACTCTGAATTGTTATTTGTTGCTACTGCTTGTTGGAATTTTTTAATGGCTATTTTCGTTTTCAGATATATAATTTTCCTGTCTACTTGACATACCCTTAAATTTTTGTATGGTTCAGACCTCCGTGTTGTTATGCCTTCTTTACTAGATGTTTCATTCCTCTGGTGTCCTTGAGAATTATCCATATATTTTTCGGCTAGTCTTTTGTCAAAGCTATTTGTTCTTTCGTTTATCTTATTATAGACATTACTTGTACTTTGATAACAGATACTGTGTTGCTCTTGGGATCTCTGTGTTTCTATATTTGTGAGATCTTGGCTAGATTGACATGCCACTGTTGGTATATTTTTAGTTAGATCATCTGTATGATTTACTTTTACATTGAGATTCTGACGATTACTATTAGGATGAAGTAGGAGCCCAGGTTTTGTTTTCTGTTGGATAGTCTGGGTATTCAAAATCTGGCTTGACATATTACGTCTTTGTAGGTTCTGTAGATATATATGATCATTATTATAAGCAAACCATGAAAACGTGTTCCTTGATGAACGTGCTGGTTTACTATTGGTGTTGAGGGAATATTAGTTCCTGGCATTTGATGTTGATTCATATATGTTGGTGTTCCATAATGTTGATTCATATAAGTTGGTGTTCCATATTGCTGATCCATATGTGTTGGTGCTCTATATGGTCAGCACATTCCTGTAGGCATGTTTGGCACTGTGGTATATAGGTTCATGTATGCTGTATGCATATTATTTTGTGTTCCATGATGCACAGTAAGTGGGTGTACTAGACCTTGTCCTGTGTAAATATATGGTAAAACAGGAGTATGTTGTTTTGCTTGTAGTGCAATTTGAGTTGTTAAAGCAGTTTGGATGCACATATTTTGCATCATCGCTCTGAGTCGATGGCCAAAACGCATGTCTCTGATGTGGTTCTGTGCCATATGATATTGTTGGTAATGGTCTCTCCCATGTGTATGTTCATTTGTCGTCTGATTTTGATTTGACGTTTCCGTTTCAGATTGAATAGCAACAATGACAGTTTTCATATGCTTATTTTCATTTTCTAGGTTAAGTATCCTAGTTTTTTGTGTCACTATTATTTTATCTTTATCAGATCTTTTTATTCCTAGATTAGATTTGCTACATTTTTTCTTATACCTGATTGTAGTATCGTTTTTCTTCCATTTTGACTACTATCATTTGATTGCCCAGTTGCTTTATCCTCCATGATTTTAATATTTGATTTTGTATGGTTGGTTTCGGTGACATCATTGATTTTTGAAGTGTTTCTTCTTCTGAAGTTTCTAATGAAGCTGATTGAATTGTATTCCAAGTGAGCACAATATTTTAGCGCGGAGACCGACACTGACCTTACACTCGTATTTGGATAACCCGCTAATAAATGGTATAGCGCGGTATATCTATCTAAACAGATTTTTTTTTTATTTATTTTTATTTTTTTTTATATATGGACATGATGGAGTGGTTATTTATATCTTTTTCTCTGGTTTCAACTTGATTTTCTGGTACCCAACAGTTTTTGATTGTTTGCATGATAAATTTCATTAACCAGGCTCTGATGTACGGTATAGATCCGAGTTGAAGTTTGCTGGTTTGTGGTTGTTCTCTTGATTACTCTTTTGGATTGCTTTGTTTACTTTTATACTTTGGCTTTCAAGTAAATGATCCTCTTCTGTTTGGTCTTTTTCTTCCAAATCTACAGTTTTTTTGTACTTGATGCTTTTTACTCCATTCAATGATCGAAAAAAAATGGAATTTCGAGGATAATACGGTTGCTGTTTGGAGAGTCTTTTCAGCTGTTTTAAAATTTCTCTATAATTATTTGTCAGGTGGTCTACTATTTCCTGCGTACTCTGATATTTAATTTTAATTAGCCTAGTACTTATGTTTAGATCAGTGAAATCACATGTAGCAATTAGAATATATAGCCACATATCTTTTTCAATAAGTTGAAGTTCTGTTTCCAGATTCTCCTCTATCCAGGACAATGCCGAATTAGCGTTCCGTCCTCCTTCACACCACCATGTGATGTCCCTGTGCTGAGAGTGATATTTTTGATTTTGTATTTTGGTAGCTATACTGTCACATAGGAGAACTGGTCTATGTTTTTGTGGCCCTTTTGGTGATTGAATTGGGCGATTTGCGCTTTTCTTTAACTTTACCAATGACATGTATGTTGTTGGATAATAAGTCTGTTGTTGTGGGGTATGTTCCCGACGATGATGTAAAGAAACAATATTTTCAAGTCACCCGATAAACAAGCACGATCCAACACTTATCACAATACAAAATAAAATGTATATAACAGGAAGGAGTCAAGATAAACGGTCCATATGAAAAAGCTTCATTTGTATTTTGGCAGACTCGGGTTTATAAATACAAGGGTTTTGTTGTAGATTTTTTTTGTCTCAATGTGTCAAGATGGCGATCACGTGGAGAAGAAAAAATATGAACAAATTTAATTTGTGTTTTTGGCAGACTCGGGTTAATTAAATACATGGGCTTTGTTTGTTTGTTTATGTTTTTTTTATTTGTCTCACTGCATCAAGATGGCGATCACGTGGTGAAAAAAATGGCGGTCATTATGAAAAAGTAAAATTTGTGTTTTTATGTAACCTCAGACTAAAAGGATCACAAGGGTTGCGTTTTTTTGTTGTGTCTATATGTATGTATATGTGTGCTGTACACGTATTATACAATGTGCATAAAAATAAATGCCAAACTAAAATAATGTAGAGAAACTCGCTGCTTAGATTTTCACGTCCATTCCTTTCAAGCCTCACTTTCACCAAAATCTAACATCGCCAGTGTTTGTACTCGATTGCACTGATTGTTTTAGCACATTCTGAAAAGGACGTTAATTAACGCGATTTACTCGATTTTAAAATTGTTTGAGATTGTATCAGCACGGTGAGGTACTATTTCATATTTTTTAGTCTGATCCAGATTAGCATCGAGTACAAGTCAGTTGTTTACTAAGGGTAAATAGAGCTAGAATTCGTTAAAATAAAAAAAAAGAAATTATAAACTTATTATGAATGGTCGAGTACAAATGGTATAATTTCAGACGTTAACTGATTGGTAGTGAAATGAATATGGAAACGTTAAACAAAAACCATTTCAGCGGCACACTACGTTATTTTCGTTTTGATATGTTTATCACAAATAAAACTACTAAAACATCTGACATGTGTGTGTTTCAATGTCCTGTTCATTATTTGTTTCTATTGGTAGGCGGATTGAAAGAACAGTTTATTTTCTTTTGTTCCGATTTTGTTTTTCGTTTTTCAGTGAAATGAGCAAATACTTACAAGCCACATTTACTGTTATTGCACGCCCTGAAAAAGATAAATAAAAATCTAAACACCCGTAAAAATGGTTATGATTAAACTATAAGAATGTTTTTCTACATTTCTTTAACGTAGAGTTGTAGATGTATATCAAAGGGCAATCCACATAATACATATAGCTAATGCGTATAGAAACAGCTTAAGGCGAAGTGTACGTAATTAACTACTCCACAGAATTTTTTTTAATTTTACATGTGGATTCTGCTTGTAAAAATACATCAGACAATAAAATAAAAAAAAGGGGTAACCGTTTTCGTTTTTCAGATACAAGCTGTTGAAATTAACAGCATGATACGCCAAAAATACAAAGGATATATAGGGAAAATCATAAAAATCGGCAGATATTTTTACTTTATCAAGATTTTCTAATTCGTTGGTCCACAGAATTTTTTTAAAAATCGATATGCGATTCAAAAATGAACGACGAACCCATTGGTGCAAAGAAAGTCCTTAGCAACCGTGCTAGTTTTCAAGCTATATCCTGTGGAAGTTTGATTTTTAGCGGAAAGAATAAAAAACATTCGGCGACGTTATTGATGTCTACTGTAACGTCATCACAATTTCTACTAGATATAACTCTATAACGCTATTATACCGTATATTGTCGAAACAAAATCGTGAGTGTGTATAAAATTGAGAATGGAAATGGGGAATATGTCAAAGAGACAACAACCCGACCGAAGAGCAGACAACAACCCGACCAAAGAGCAGACAACAGCTGAAGGCCACCAATGGGTCTTCAACGCAGTGAGAAAATCCCGCACCCGGAGGTGGTCCTCAGCTGGCCCCTAAATAAAATTGTGTACCAGTTCAGTGAAAATGGACGTCACACTAAACTTCAAAACATATAAATGAACTAAAATTAAAAAAATATACAAGACTAACAAAGGCCAGAGGCTCCTGACTTGGGACAGGCGCAAAAATGCGGCGGGGTTAAACATGTTTTGTGAGATCTCAACCCTCCCCTATACCTCTAGCCAATGTAGAATAAAGAAACACATAGCAATACGCACAGTATAACTCAGTTTAAAAGAAGCCCGAGTCCGATGTCAGAATAGGTAACAAAAGAAACTAAACAAAAAGACAATGATACATAAATTAACAAAGGACTACTAGCAGTTATTGACATGCCAGCTCCAGACCTCAATTAAACTGATTGAAAGATTATGTCTTCATCATATGAAAATCAAGTACAATCCCTCCCGTTAGGGGTTTAGTATCATACAATCATAAAATATATGAGAAGAACATAACCCATATCATGCCAACAACTGGTTTTAGAATAATAGTGTTTATTTCCGATGCAATGACCCTATGAGTGAATCAATATTAATACCAAAATATGCATTCCTTAATTACCTGACAACAGTATCGTAACTATATCCTTTCCAAATAAGTCTGTTTAAAGTTTTGGTTAGCTTTTGAGGTGAATGCCGACATTTTTGTGCTTTGTAAAGAATATTACCAAAAAATATTGGATGTGAAATACCTGAACGTATAAGATGTCTACATGTTGATTTATATTTACGAATTATTTATAACCCATTTTCCTAATTATTGCAAATGCTCAAGCGTAATCAATTGATAAGGAAATAAACTGAGTATTTTTTAAGGATAATTCTGCTGCCAAAAAAAAGCAAATTGGCAAATAAATATACTGCAAGTGAAAGAAAGTTACTGTATAGACTTTAACTCCATCTTTTCTTAATTAGACAGGGTTCCACATCTTTTTTGAAATGCTTGTATTTATAGCTGACTATGGGCTTTGATCATTGTTGAAGGCCGTACGGTGACCTATAGTTGTTAATTTCTGTGTCATTTGGACTCTTGTGGAGAGTTGTCTCATTGGCAATCATACCACATCTTCTTATTTTTATATTGTATTGTTCTAATAATTATGAATCAAATATCAAGTTTGAAATTGTCCCGGTTAACACAGCGTTGACAGAATGATTCTATACGTATTTTAATAATCGGTTATAATATTGGGATCGCGTATACACGTCTTTTTTAAAATCTTATTTCTGCATGTTTGTATTTTAAAAAAGTGTATATAATTTGCTGCATCTTTTCATCCTCACCATTTCCGGCGCTATTCCAGGTATTGCGCACAAAACCCATTTTATTTGTCAGGTTCACACACGTGCACGTGACACAACTCTGCAATTTTATTTTAAAAATTTCCTGTCTCGATCGCTTTCCCTTTTCTTTAACTACACGACAAAGCATAATATAATGTTTGCTGAAGATTTTAAGTAAAAAAGGAAATAATTTCTTGTACCATTATTTGTTGAATATCCACATGCACGACTCCCAAAAAATAAGAAAACTGCATCTGCATATTATCTTGAGAATTTTTATGGCTGTAATAAGGTCAAAAGAAGAACCCGCATATGAATTTTAGCAAAGTAAAACAGATCGGAGTTTTTGATATAACTTGTCCCTGTATATAATGCAAATGAATTGCAGTTTTGTTAATATAATATGAAAATAAGGAGATGTGGTATGATTGCAAATGAGACAACTATCTGCCACAGTTTAAGGTAGATCGGGTGTCTTTTTCTGAGCGTCCGTTCTGATCATGTTGCAAAAATACTTTTTTGTTTTAAAAATATTTTACCAAGTATCATTTAATATACAACAAAATACCTAAAACTTGAAATTTAAAGATTGAACTATCAAAAAATTAAGTGTCGTAAAGTATATTTAAAATTTTTGGGGATTTTTTCAAGAAAATAAGGCCCGTGACCCCCTATTTTTATTTGATATTTCGGAGTTATTAATGAAAAGCAATTTTCTCATCGAATTTTAGCCAATTCTATCGTTTAATGTTTCCGCAATAAGGAAAACTTAAGTTTCCCCTATATTAACAATATAAAATAACCCAAATTTCGTTAATTTCAATGTGTTATTACGAAAAAACAAGGTCCGTGATCCCCAGTTTTTATATTGAAATTTGAAATTACATTGACCCAGAAGTCTTTTACAGAAGTTTAAGAAAAATTTATCGTCCAACATTTAGACACCCCCAGCTACCTTAAATGATGTGGATGTAAGCAATTATTATAGGCAACCATACGGCCTTCAAGAATGAGAAAAATCCATATCGTATAGTCGGTAATAAAAAGCCCCGACATTGTAGACCTTATTTTCTTCACCCCCTCCCCCTTCTTCCCCTACCTTATACTACTGCTGAATGATACACAAAAGCACAACAAAAGAAAACATATTTCGCTATCCCTTCGAAATTGATATTTGATAAAGAAAAAATAACACGTTCTATTTTTATCATACATGTGTAGTTTCAGTTTCAACCATGGTTCTAAATTCAGATTTTACTTTCCCCAAAAATTGCGGACGGAATAGAGGACACCTGTTTATTTTCTGCACCTTGAAAACTGAGATTTGGATGACATATATTTTACTTATTCTGAGATAAATGTAATAGTGCTCAATTCTTAGTTTCTGAGTGTGTAATGTTTTGTGGACGGAATCTGATGGTTTTTTTTTTTGCTGTTGGCTTTTTCTTCGCCTTCGGCTTATAAATATTCATTATGTTGTACTAGTTGTCGATTACCCCTTAGTATCTTTTATACTTTTTACATAAATAATAAAATATAAAACATCATAAAATTTTCAATTGCATAAAAACGGACATGCCAACGTCTTTCTTGTTCAATACACAAATTCACATGCAATATAATTATTCGTTACCTACAATTTTACGCTACACTGTGAATTTCATTCAAAACTATGGTTTTTCAAAAAATATTGTGGGGTCAACTCTGGTTTGATTTTAATGAATTTGATACGAATAGAAGCAGAATTGTCACTGGTTTATTTGTTTATTTGGTTATAATTTTGTTGTTAATGCGTTTTTACCTACTGTTGAAAAAAACACGAGTCGTATTGTGTACCTGCTCCTGCGTGTCTAAAACAAAAAAAGTGGTAATAAAGTCAGACTACCTCACAATAGGATACTCAGATTTCTGATTGGAGTCATTCTAATTATTTCTTTGAAGTTTTGAGATAGCACATGAATACTTGTTTGGATTCATGATAGACCGCACGAAGTCATTTTTCTTTCATGTGCCTATTTTTCCTTTCTTGGAGTAGGTGAGATAACCCGCGTAACTAACGACGCACGTTTTTTATCCTAAATTCCGCTAGAGGCGTGCAATTACGTACACTTCGCCTTAAACTAAATAAATCGCTACTATTCTGATGACTATTCTCACTTATGTTATACATTATCAGTCAAAAATCAATCTTTGATAACAACAAACATTATATAATTTCCCATGTTATACGGTATCACAAAACATATAATAGAAAATGAGACACAATCATAATTTTCTAATGTGAATATTGCAACTGGCATAGCGTCTTCTTTTGTAACTTAGCAAAATTTCCATTTTTTATGACGAGCTGACAAAATCAAAAGTTAAGAATCCCACTATACACACCCCTTTTCCTTTTTGAAATTAATTTGGGTTTAGGTATTTGTGTTATTCTTTTTATGTATCCTTTACTTTACCTACAATCTGCCCATAAAAGACATGTTGCTTATAATGATAATAAATATATGTAAGTCAAAACATTTTAATGATAATATAACTAAGAAGTTAATCATATCAGTTGTTTTTGGTTTTGATAAAACATTTATAACAAATAAAAGACTCAGTGTATATAAGAAGTTAGACATCAATTTAGGATTATGTTTTATCTATCAACTATATACCAGCAGTCTTAATTTTCTAACATGTAATTATTTTTGGGGCACTTTTTCCTCTTTTGAATGTTATATAACGTGTATGGGGGATAGTTAAACACTCATAAAAAGGGAATTGAAATAAACTAAGGACTTAGGGAAATATGGAAATGTATTCTGTACTCTGAGGGGTTGTTCACTGTTTGATACATGTTATACAAGTCATGTTGATATCAGATAAAATATAAAAAAAAAACTAAGTTATAAACCACGAAACACAAGGGTGTGTAGAGTGGGATTCTTATAAAACTTATAAATCCAAAACGACGTCAAACTAAAATGTTATTAATGCTATTCATTTCCTGGTACGGGCATGCACGAACGGATAGGATAATCTCTAACCGTGTTTAGAAGCCTCTATTTAAGAAAAAACAGTCTCATTAGAGTTTTTTGTAGACGAAACACGCGTGTAACATACATAATTAGAATGTTGGTGTCATTGATTAAAAACAGGGCACACAACTTCATGGATATAAAAAAAAAAAGATGTGGTGTAATTGCCAATGAGACAACTCTTCACAAGATAATAGTTTGTTTATCAATGCATGTCAAGTTACAACACCCCATTTTTCTAACAACATAGTTATATTAGTTACTTTACTATCGGATATACATATTGTGTACATTAAACATTTTTCTAACTTTTTTGTATGACATTTGTAAATCTTGAAAATATGAGTTTACACTAAAACGCTTCCCATGATAGCTGTTTTAGGGTAATAACATGCAAATATAATGGAGTGCAATGCAAGTTTACTGGAAATATGTATGCATTGCACCTGTCCTAAGTCAGGAATCTGATTACAGTAGTTGTCGTCTGTTTGTGTAGTTCATATGTGTTTCTCGTTTCTCGTTTTTATATAGATTAGACCGTTGGTTTTTCCGTTTGAATGGTTTTACACTAGTAATTTTTGGGGCCCTTTATAGCTTGCTGTTCGGTGTGAGCCAATGCTCCGTGTTGAAGGCCGTACCTTGACCTGTAGTGGTTTACTTTTATAAATTGTAACTTGGATGGAGAGTTGTCTCATTGGCACTCATACCACATCTTCCTATATGTATATATATATACCGTTTCGATTCCTAACATCACTGAAGAGACATTAATTGTCGAAATCCGGATATGGTATACAAATTTTTGCACATCATGTTTGCGGTATACCATCTTTTCCGGAAGTTTATTGTTTTCTGTTTGGTATTAAATAGATAATAAAGATCCATTATGTTACATCTTGTGATCCGTTTATTTGGCAATTGCCAATGGCAGTCAGCAGGGTTTAAGAACATCATCCGACACACTTTTCTGGATATGATATTCATCAGGAGCGCGGAAATATATAAACTTGAAAGCAAGGGAATCATTAATATAATGAAATGTTAGGAGCTATCTTACCTAACATCCCAAAAGGGACATAACAAGCAAAAAAGTGAAATTCGTCTAAGCTTAACGTTGCCTAATAAAGTTGGAGCCTATGTCTCTTAATTTGGGAATTCATATACGGGGAATTTGAGAAAAGCGTATTATAAATCGGGACGCTTTTTAAATTTATTAAGTCTTAAATGCTTTTCTGGTTTTATCAGTGCATGCCAAAAATAGGAAACTGTATATAAATTCATATTAAAAAAAAATGATATCAAGAGAACAGTCAAAAACGTATAAACCGTAAGGCAAATGGAGATAGACAATAGTGTGACGATGGATACATTAAAAGGCTAGGATTATCATGTTGACGTCCGTGGTCATATTTCATTTGTATTTTGAGCTCGTTTTCCTGTTTATTTAAATTCATTTTTTACACACAAAAACCTACTCTTTCATATACATAAATAAAGGCAACAGTAGTATACCGCTGTTCAAAAATCATAAATCGATTAAGAGAACACAAATTCGGGTAACAAGCTAAAACCGAGGGAAACACATCAACTATTAGAGGAAAACAAATGAACATCAGGAACACTGAAGTGCAACAAAAACAAACGGCAACATACATAGAATAAAATTATAACTGGATAATTCACGTTGTACCATAAAGTATATTTTAACAAAGCTGTAGGTCTTCAGGGAACAACACATATTGAAATCACAAAACATACCATTGTCATGACCATTTGTGTAGTCCCATGGACAACACATTGATGTGAGATAGAAGTTTTATTTTACATACACATCTCCAAGAATGCATGATTGTGATATGATATGATAATGAAACGTGTTGAATATTTTTTACTTACATAGACAAACCTTGACCGCTGAAATATGAGAAAACAAAAATGTTAGCTCAGTAAACATTTTTAAACAATTTTAACTGTGACTTGTATAATTATTGACTAATAATCTTAATAACATTCTGTAAAGTCAGGAATGTCTACTCGAAATATAGAAAATAAAAATGCGAGCTTCATAATTATACTTCAGAAAATTATGCATACAAATAATGCTATCACAATTTAAAGTACAATTGCGTATTTTTGAGAATCTAAATACGCAACAATAAAAACATGGCAAATATTTCGGAATTTACAGCAGTGCAATAAACATGATAAAGTTTAAAATGAATTCAATGCTTATTTAGGTTCATGCAAATATGCAGATATGAGTGCAAAAAAAGAATATATTTGAAAAAAAAAAACAATTTGACGGTATATGTTCAATAATTATTCACATTGTTTAAATAATCTGTATAGCTACTAACAAATCATCTGTAACGTCATCAGATCAATAGCTGCTATGCGGAGAATGTTTACAGTGTGTTCCCTGATTTGTTTCCAATTTTATAAGGAAGAATACAAACATAACGTTTCATAATAAAATTAAACAATGATGTCACTTTTATAGCCGATTTAAATTGTCTGAGCTATTTGTAATCACTAATTATAGTGGGATAAGCGTTGTGGCGTGCGTAACAAACATCATGTCCTCGCCATTCGAAATTCAAAATTAACTTGAAAGCGTGAATGTTCTCTTTTGAATTTCTATAAAATAAACAAACTATCTTCTTGGGCGGAAAACGTCCAACAGTTCAAATCTGATTAAGAAAGTATAGATATGATTTTTTATCTGAAAGACATTCAACGCTTTATAGCTAAAGAGGCAATGTGTGTATTACGTATTGCATATGTATATTGTATGAATGAATCGCATTGCCACAAGACATCTATTTCAGATTTTACGATCATCCAATATTTCATTGATATTTGGCGATCTTTCCGAAAACCTTGTTGCGGTATATGGATGATAACTTGTTGAATCATGGGAGTGTAGATAAATAAACGTTTATATTTACTATGATTTGACATTCATTATTTTAAAACGAAAGAACACACTGTATTGACCATCATGATTTTGCAGATGTAGATTAGATAGTTCATGTCATCGCTATATAAATAAGACCACACGGCTCTCGTCATTAAAACAATACATTGGCTTTTTAAACAGATAATCAGAAAATATATCCATTCCTTCCTGACATTAAACTAATACATAGTCTATTTTTTATCCATCTTACTTTTTTTACATAACTGATAGTCGGGGAAACACACTTATAATTCTCTGAAGTATGTACTATTAGCTATTGGGTCAATTAAGTTTCATCGATATACGATGTTTTCTTATAATAAACTTAATTCCACATGGATTTACGTATTCTGCCAAGCATAATTTAACACTTCAACTATTTAGTTCTGTATGTTAGTAAAACCACCTTCACAATGTTTAAACAATGAAGAAGAACTATAACATTAATACATACCTATGCCTGTATCGTGTTGCAGGCTCCTCACTGCAAAATTAAATCACATTTGTTTTTCTTATTAATGTTTTTTAAGGAATCCCACATCTTTAACTATAATTGACGAGCCGGGTGTTTTTACGTTTTGTGTGTTTTATTACCGGAATAACGGTTCCGTGCAATTTTAACAGAAAAATGTCACAACAAAACGTCTGTCCATTCTAAAGACAATCCTCTTTACAAAACAATTTCAAGGAAACACACCACTAAATCAATGAGGTTATAAAGTGTGCTATGGAATGTCTACCATTTTAACTAGGGGCAACTTATTATTTTTGTTTACATATTCTGTTTTGAATGTCTTAACGTCGTTTAAATTTTGATCATGGTGTTGTCTCTTTTTCTTAGATTGCCTAGAACTTCTTTATGTCCTGACAAATGTCACAAGAAATCTTTTCATTTACAAAAAAATTTCTCGGAAATACACCGTTAAATCAATGAGGTTACAAAGTGTGTTATGTCATGTTCAAAATAACACTACCATTCAAACAAGGCAAAAATGATGATTTCTTTTTATATTCTGTTTTGAATGTCTTGTCGTGGAATTTTTTAATTTTAATTTCATTGAACACATATTTTTTACCAAAAATGTTAGTGTCTTGCTAGAATTATCTTCGTATATTAAACAAATCAATTCATGTTTTTCATATACTAAATAAACTCATCATAGATACCAGGAATACAGTTTTGTATATGCGCCAGACGCGCGTTTGGTCTACAAAAGACTCATCAGTGACGCTCGAATCAACAAAAGTTAAAAAGGCCGAATAAAGTACGAAGTTGAAGAGCATTGAGGACCTAAAATTCCTAAAAGTTTTGCCAAATACAGCTAATGTAATCTATTCCTGAGGTAGAACAGCCTTAGCATTTCAAAAATTCAAAGTTTTGTAAACAGTTAATTTATAACTATGACCATATCAATGATAACTCATGTCAGCACAGAAGTGCTGACTACTGGGCTGGTGGTACCCTCGGGGAATAAAAACTCCACCAGCAGTGGCATCGACCTTAATGTCTTCTTCTCCTCCCAAGTAAAATAAAAAGGTCTGATAACATTCCGAGAAATGTAAAAGAAATTACCTCCTGTTAAATGATAGCAGGACAATTGACATTAATATCAAGAACTCTCAAACAAATCCTTTTGAGAAAAATGGAATGTATAACAACGTATTAACTTTAGACACTACATGACCACAAGGGAACACAAAGGAATAGCCAAATTCAGCTAGGGTAAACTTTGCGATAAGACATTGTACAATATATTATATAAGATATTAACTTAAACATACTAGTTTACATAAAAAATCCAAACTTTTCTGATTGGGTTCCATAAATATATCTTCCAGAACTAGAAATCAAGGAAACAATATTCACGACTTCCTCTGCCTGATGTTTAGACGTATACCTCAAATTTGACATAAGTGGTCATCTCAGTAACATACTAGCTTACTTTGATTGCTGATTAAAATCACATCAAAATATTAATTAAAAATGAGTCCAAATGCTATTTGTCTTTTTCGTATGTTTTAAGTCTAAGATCAAGTAAACATAATAGCTTTCTTTGATTGGTGTTAACAATCACATGTAAACATTTCTAAGTTCAAACGCTTACAATTTTGTTTATGCAAAATAGTGAAATTGCTTTAAGTGACATGAATTTAATAAAATGTAAAGAATAATTTTTTATATACGCAAACTTAACTTCACACATACACATAGTTCTGTAAATTATGGCATGTATAAAAAGACCTTTCTCATAAATACAAGTTTTCCGTGTCAAACATAAGATAATCCAGACCACCTTTATATATTTGTTTTCTATTATCGTTCATTTTAATGACATATACACTAGTAGCAAGATTTCAGTCTGAAACGGTCATTTTGGTCTGATCAAGTCTGAATCGACTAAATTTACCGCTAGGGAAAAACATTAAGACTTTTTAAGACTTTCAGACGCTGTTCCGATATGTCGTGTTCAGTCCGTTCATTCATGTCAAGATTAACAAGACAGAAGGCTCTAGCTGTTAAACAAGATATGTTAAGACGGTTTTAGACGAATTCAGACCAAACATAAAAAGTAACGTTCAAAATTTTCAGATCGGGTTAAGATCCGTTTAGTGTGTCAGAATGATATTAGGAGTTACGCCCCTTCATGTGGATGATACATTTAAATTACAAAATAATTACAATATAAATGCTAGAATTAGAAACGTGTATTTTGAATAATTTAACAAAAAAACATTGGTTGACTTTTTATTTCTGTTGGTCTTTTTTAAGAGATTAGGGAATTAATATATATAAACTTTTGTTAATTTGTTTTATTGAGGAAATAAATTATTCGCCAATAACTGTTTATGATTTTATTTTTTATTTTCTGATGTTAATTTATGTATTTATCTACTTATTCTTTGAAAAGAAGTAATTGCAAATTTAAACATAACATTAGCAAAAGAGTGAAAACACCTTATAAATTTCATGCGTCTGAAGCACGTTTCTGGATTTTACTTCATCGGGAACGATCAACGGAAAATACAAATATGTTTTATGTCAGATAATTTATATCGTTAATTTCGTTATCTTTCGATACTTTCCTCTCAAACTTAATAATTACTTCGTGGCATTTAGTAATCATTCTCGGTGCGAGTTATTCTTTTATATTTGGACAACCGTCTTTTTTTGCTTTTATTTCGTAAAGTGATGCGTCTGAACACCAAGGCCGCATCAGGGAACCATGTCTCAGAGTGCACTAATATTTTGAAAACTGCACCTACACCGTGACGAGACAATGTTAAAACTATAAATAACATACCATCGGAAAGAAGAAGATGCTGATGGGGGGTTTACAGAATAGAGAATGATGGGCAATAAATATAAAGAATAGAGAACATGGATAAAAAATAAAGAATAGAGAATAATAAGGTGCTTAAATATAAAGAATTGATAATAATAGACAAAAAGTTTAAAGAATAGAGAAAAACGGCATAAAAAATTAAAGAATACAGAAATAAAGGACCCCCCTCCAGATCCTCATAGAACTTTTCGTTAAATCAATATAACCTAATTTAAGTTCAGCATCGAGTATATATCCTTGTAAATGCGTTAATCCTTTCTTTCATTTTAATAACAATCTTATTTAATATAAAATATGTATTTATTTGTTTATTTGTTTATTCAATTTGCGTCTTCTCAAGGATTTGTATAGTCACTATACAAATCCTTGGTCTTCTTCTTCCTCTAATAGTAATAAATGTATTCGTTATTTAATATTTTATGTCAATAAAGATGGAGTTCGATGGCACGTGCCAATAATCAAAAGGTAATAAAATCAATGATCCTTAAAATATTAAAAACTTGGCAATTACAATGGCTATTTCACAATTACATCATATGTACACCTGTCATGGTATCATAGCTCCGTACATGTATGTGTAGTTTAAGGTTATAACAGATTTTATAATAGCTTCTTTCTAAACAAATTACATTGTTAAAACTATACGAACATATAGCAAAACCGCAAATTTAGTGGTTAAAAAAAATATACGATAATGACAAAAAAAAATAATTAAAAACTAAAAAAAAAAAAAATTCTGTTGGAAGTTGCATATATGGATGTCTTTTGTTGTGTGTTTTTTTTTGTGGTTTGTTTGCTATATTATTGACGTAAATAAAACCGACATTTCCTTTTAATCATATATATAATTTGAGTTCTGTAAATTTCTAGACGTACGTAAGAATGAAGGACGAAATGCAGGTTTGATAAATGGTCATCAAAGAGCGACACAATTAAAAACAAGTAAAAATATAGTTATTACAGCTACAGTCATTATTTTTTCTATTAAAACATATTTGATACTTTTTGCGCCATTGTCATATATCGAAAATTCAAAAAAATCTCACATTACCATTAGCTTTCTGTGATTTCCCCGATTCACCATTATGATGTCATGCCACTTGCTATATTGATTCAGAAAACAAATTAACGAAATCTATGACCACACAATTGTAACTGTTCCTATCTTTATTAACAAAATTTATCGTAAATATTTACAACTATAAAAATGAGTAACAGTGGTGGTCTGTTCTGCCCGGAAAACTATGCGGACTAAAACTGTGTACAGTGGCGTTTCCAGTCATTTTAAATGGGGGTTCCCAACCAAGGATAAAGGGAGGGATCCAACCTTATGTCCTTATTAACAAAAGGGGGTCCAAATCCAGGACCCCCCCTCAAATCCGCCACTGTGTGTACCACCGACATTAATTTTACAAATATGCAAATCGATACTAGTTCTGTTAGGACAGTTTTCAATTTTATATAATAGAAGTAGGTGAATTATACAGCAGACATATTGGTTTTCTTGGTTTAGATAGAAAATTCTCTACCCCCGATCAAGAATCTCATTAAATTATACTGATGTGCATTCGTATTTGTCTAAAATATAATCTTTAATCTTATCAAATTTGAATCTCATGATTTTTGTAAAAAAAGCGGAATTACATTTCCAAAGTGATATTCAATCTTATTATTCAAAGACAAACTGACAACGCCACTTCAAAATAAAAAAAAAGTCAAAATGACAAACTGTACATATATCCTAACTTAGAATATACAAATAACACACTTCATGACTTCATAACCATAGAAATACAACGAAAGATCATATCATAAACAAAATTATATTGAAAGGTCAATGATGAGAAATTTTAACATTTGTAATACCTAGTACTTTATAATCTTTTTCTGAAAAGACTTCTCGTCCTGAATATGCATGAAATGTTTGCCACTGGACGTTAAGGAACCAACAATCAATCAATCTTTTGCTCTAAAAAATTAATGAAACAATATAAGCCACAATTTTATCCATCACTTGGTGTCTGTTGTCTGTTTGTACAGTAAACATACTGAATTCGTTTCGTCAAGAAATGTATTCTTTAGACGAGTTCAAGAGTGTAAATAAATTCATAGGGTATCATGTGCTAGTTGGAATTATTCA